GTTTAGAATTTGTATAGAATTTTAAATTTTTCTTTTAATCGAGAGAGAAGAGATTAATAGATATAAATAAATTTCAATTTTTAGATCAAAATTAAAACTTTTGTTAAGTTTAGGAGTAATTGCTTTTATCTTACTACTATTTCATTTTTATTTATATCATTACATGTTATAATTACATTTTTTATTATAGCTATAATATTTACTTATTAAAAAATTATTTAATTTTTTAAATAAATATAGAAAAAAACAAATATAACAACAGATCAGAAATAATTCAATTTAATTATTGTGAGAGCAAAGTGTTATTATTTTCTTTAAAATTATTTTTCAGTCTTTATTTTTGAAAAGATAATTCTGTTTAGAAGTAAAGTTTGAATAAAATCTATGGATACTAAAATTACCTAAACATTTGTAAGTATCATATGTTTGTGATTTCATATAATATGTATTAATTGATCACGATTTATTTGTCGGATGTGATAAACATGTATTCTATCATGTGCGATCTATCTTTAAATTTATGAAAACATGATACGCGATCGTAAAACAGAGGGGATCAGAGATTTAAATTTCCATGTACAAACTAATCATCTTCTTAAATTCCCTAAGGCAGTGGTTAGTTTCTACGAAGTTTTACTACCTGTTGCCCAGCTTCCGGAGCCAGTAGCGTCTACTGGTATTTCGCTTTCTAAACTCTTAATTACGACTGTGATGTAGTTTATTTTTACGTAATTTTTAATTAGTAGAAAAATATATAAAAATTTTTGAAAAAAGATATTGTTATATATTTATAGCTTTTAATGTATTTTCAGCGAGTTTAAATATAATTGATTAAAATAACTGATTAAACAGCAGAGATAACAGAGATTTCTCGAAATTTGTATACATAAAAACATGAATTAAAAGTCCGTGAAAAATCAAAAGAATTGGAATTATATGAAAACACTTTATACAATAAAAAACGATGGAAGTTGATCACTTTTTATCTGGATAAAGCAAAGAGATAATCGCGATTGCATTTTTAACAGTGGCTCATTCGTTTATAATGTGCAATTTGCGTGATTTCAGGCAAAAAATCTGAACAATTAGCGATCGTATAGTAAGAGAGGAGACTCAGTAGGAAACGATTCAGATCGCGTTTCGGATCGAGTAAGCGAATACTTTAGATTTTTCGCTCCGTTGAGCGTTTTGCGGCGATTTATGTTCTACGAGCAATTAAATACACAGTTACAGTGTGGAGTGTTAGCTAAGGTGTATATGTACGTATGTATTATGATTATATGTGTTACTCTCTCTGGTGCCAAGACATCAAAGAAAGGGAGTATATATAGCTTGAGAAATGTAATTAGACCAATTGTTTCGATCGATCAGCTTCTTACAGGAGGTACGATCATTTATTATAATTTGCTTCTTTGCTACCATTATAAAATCTAATATATAGTTAAAACATTGAGAAATTTTATTTTGCAATAAAAATATTTCAAAATAAAATAGTGCCTGGAATTTTAGAATACAGAATTACATTCAGTACATAAATTCTCTCTCTCTTTCTCTAAGTAAAATTATAAACTTTTTAAATATATGATATATGTGCCACAAAATATTTTTCTTTTTTTTAGCAAATATATCCTTAAAAATTTGCTAATACTATGTATGTACCTTATATTGAGTTTGATCATAAAGTTTGCACTTATTCTACAACAGCTGCGCCATACAGAGTGTCAATAACTATATACGGATGCGGTATCACGAGACTTGAAGATTGAGTTAGTGTCGTATATACCGGAAAGAGACGAAAAGCGAATGTGAAGAAGATGGTGTACGCGTTGAGAATGCGCAATGTAACTGACGATCGCGCAAAAATCCGTAACTCCTAAGAACGACTTAGGATTCCCTTCATTTCTACCATATATGTACATGTGTACATCTAAGAGTGCGATGAACGAACCTATGACCTCGACGAGGTCTCTCTTTACTGTCTATGCGACATCAGCGTTCTTTAGTCACATCAAAGAATAACGAAACAAAACTACTAATTATTCTTTATTTCCGTTACTTAATGTGCACACTTAATTAAATTATTAATTGCAGGAATTATAGAAGAACTTCACAATTATGATAAAATCTTGATGTAATTAATCGTGAGGTAAAATTAAGTTACATGTAAAAGAGATACGCAATTGATTTTTTTGTTGTTAAAACGTAAGGATAAATTCAAAATAAGTTTTCATGGCAATCGATTCTCTCGTGTTTGGGTATCCTCGATATTGAGAATCGCAAAGAGGTTACTGTGCTGTAAGGGTAACGCGAGAGAAATGCGGCATACTTAGAGACTCGCGATATCCAATGAGATAAACGTGAATTTGCGGCGTCTAGTTTTGATGTGAAATCTTACGTCGAGAATTTGCTAGTAAAAATTATATGTGATAAGATTATATCGTACAAAGTATAATCAAATTATTTAAATATTAGAGATATGGTACCAATTTTTTAATTCTTCGTTTAATTCGGATTTTTATTTTTAATGAAAATTACTCTAAAGCAATTAATATAAATTACAGATAATATAAAAGTAATATTTTCTAATTGTTGTTAAATTAAAATTTATATAATTGTCTATATAATTTTGTAAATAATATTATTAGTTGTATATATCGCGGTACATAAAGAGATTAAGTAATTGTGTGTGTGTATGTGTGATAATAAGTTAGTTTTATCAAAATTAAAAGAAAACAAAGCAAGATTTAATACAAGATCTGCAATTTAGCCTTATTTTATCATTATAATTATAAATAAGTTCAATTATTGAAATGAAATTTAGAAATAAAATGATTTTTCTTAATTGATTTAGTCTCATTATTCTAAAATTCTATTTATAATTATTTATAAATTTAATTTCGCAAATTCATGTAAAACACGTCAAAGTAATGTATGTGCCTACTTTCTCATATTTTTAAAAAATTTAATCGATGTAACAATAAGGTAAAGTCATGTTACTACAGTATATAAAATTCTAATGCTCATATGCTCAAGAATTCAAGGTATCTTGATGATAAAGCGCCATAATGTATCAGAGAATAATCTGATGCATTGTATGCATTAGATGCACCCAAAAAATATCGATAGATCCAGACGATTCCGTTGCAATTACTTTTCTTTCTAATCCTTTCTTTTTCGATGAACCAAAACTGTTGTTTCAATAATCCACGCGTAATAAATTTCTTTAAACTATATCACATCACTGTATCAGGATCGGAGTCCGATTGCAAACGAAACACTGATGGATCACGATCGATTCGTGAATGAAAATAGAATCACGATGTAAAACGCTGCGCATCCCGACGCTAACTGAGCGCGAGTAAGTAAAGCGTGTTCAGCACTCGACGACGGTTTACGGGGCCCGAGTGACGCTCTATCCTATTGGTCGACAACCCGAGATCTCGTGTTCCCGCCGCCATTCGGTTGCAGGTGCAGTGAGTGCACGGAACGCGGCTGGCTTGTCGACTAATAGAAAAGAGATTGGGCTGCAGGTGCAGCGAATCCGAAGGACCGTCTATGTTAAGCAAAACGCGCGCTTTTCAAACATAAATTCTCTTTTTATAATATTAGCTGTATTAAATTAATATTAATACATTTATACTCTATGTATCGATACGACTCTATATTGATAAATCTCAAAAAAATTTTGTGAGGCAATCAAAATTCTTTCACATTAAAAGTAAAATACTCCAAAAAAAAGTATTCTAATTATAAATATTTAATTTAATAATTTCTACGAGATAATATATTTTTTTAAT